TTTTTTTTGCGTAATTGCGCTAATTCGCTATGATTACGCTCATTTAACCCATGCTCCAAACACCCCCTCCCCCTGATCCATTTCGGTTACTTCCTACCGCCCACCTTTAGTACCTATCTATCTAATCTTGCCTCCTGTACCCTTACCAAATTCGAACGCCAAATCTCCTGAGAAATGAGCCTGAATTACCATGTTTGAACCTTTAGGTTTACATTTACAATTGTTGCGCACGCTCCTAACACATATCGTCCGCGTCCCCGTACTGCCTCCTGCACACCTACCAAGTTTGGACGCAGGAATTTGTCCACGGGAAAACACTTTGATAAACATTTCCACTGGTTGATGACACTCTGAATCCTTTACTTCTCCTTGAACAAACAGTTTGTACTCTCCTTTAGTGGATGGCGTCTGCTGGCTTGACAAAGCATAAGGAACATGGAATCGTAGTTTTGGTGGACGACGCGTCTAACATAAAACCAGAAAAGAGCCATCCCCACTTCTTCCGCGTTCCTCATTTGTATCTTAAGCTCTTAGGATTTTTAGCGAAAAGGGAGTCACCTTTCTCAGCACATAAAGAGCTACTTGCTGCAGAGGACGTCCTACGATCCTTTCGCGACTTGCTTTTCGTAGTTTGAGTTTTTCTTCTGGACTCAGTTCCTGTGAAAATAGCTGAATTAAGATAGCGACGGCTTCTCTGTGCTGTTAGGGAAACCACGAATGGCTCGGTGAATTTCTTCGACTTATCCTCACTATAAGATTCGTGTTTAGTGTAGCAGTATTAAGCTTCACTGACACAACGTCCCTTACCAAAATGACCAATAAATTGGAGTTAAGGGAGTGAGGAATCCTTATGGTTACAGAAGTGTTAATTAGTTTTGTTGTTTGGAGGGGACTTACCACTTCCTCCGCTCTTTCGCCATGCTGTGCAATCGAAGCTCTTTTAGCCCGTAATTCGTCTCCTCGTTGCCAAGAAGATTGATGTTCATCAGGCTTAAAAGTTCACAGTTATGAATACATAATCGTCAGATCAACTCGAGTAGATACATCTTTTCTCTTCGATTCTTCTTCCTTAGCCTGATCGTCAACGTCACTGCCTTCTTTTCCCGCGGCCGCTCGCGTTTGAGACATCGCTTTATCGCACCTGGAAATGGCTTTCAAGAAGAAAATGGAAGTCATGCCCCGGAAAACGACTTATGACTTTTTCTGGGATTTCTTTCTCGATGTTTGAGCTCTCCGGCTAGCCTTACAAGAGCAGGGAGAGGGGAAGGCAGAGGGGGGGGCGGGG